CGCCCTCCGCTCCAAGAAAGCCATGTAGGCCTCGAACTGCGCAGCCCCGTACAGCGCCAGAAAAAAGCGCGCGCGCCACCGTGTCCCGCGGCGCCCGCCGATCCAGCCAGAGCACGTGCACGCGCCACCCGCACGGCAGGTCGACGGGGCTGCGCATGGGGTACAGCCCCCCCCCGTCGCGGGGGATGCTCCTGCAGATCCAGCGCGCGAGAGGCGGCGCGTCGCGCGTGTGCCTCCGGAACGCGTCCGCCGTCGCGAAATGCAGCACGACCGTGTTGCGGTGCGCTGCGCCGACGAGGGCGGGGAGGCTCACCTTGATGGAGTGGCTGGGTGGGCTCCGGCGTGGGGGCGCCCGAATGCCCGGCTCGCCGAAATTCGGGACCCTGTGGAGAGCTTTACGTGCCTGTTGCATGTTTTGTGGCTGTTGCTGTGTTTGTAGTGTATGGTTTTTGATGCTTGGCGGTCAACGGCGGGTTGTGTGCCGACGGCAGCAGCATGTTAGAGACGGCAGTCTACCAAAGCATTTGAGAGCTACCAAGACGATTGCTCCTGTCCTAGAATACAGCACTTGATCATGCATAACTAATGCCCTGCTCGATGCTCGCCTCAAGGAAAGACGCCCAGGTGTTGTGCGTGTTTCGTGGTTCGCTCTTTGTCTTTAGGGGATACTATGAATGGCCTGTTCAACATGACCTGCTCGATGTGACGGGCCTAACGATGTACTTTGGAGCCAACAGGCAACGACCATGACTCCAGGCACGAACACAACTCACCCGAAGCTCACGTCCCAACCGAAGCTACGTGTCACAACTGCAGCCTTCAGCTGCATCTCAAAGGCAGCAGGAACGCTAGCTACTTCTCGCCTCGTCGCTGGACGGTTGCAATGCAGACTGTAAAATCTTTCAAGCAAACTCATCTATATCCGGCCATCTCCTCCCGCATCAACTATCATTGTCGTGACCATGTTTGTCGTGCATGTTTATCGCATCTTCCTAGGCCAGCCGGCTGGTCGGTTTAATACTTCCCTCCCATCCTCTCTAGATCCGCCTCCCCTAGCACCGGGCCTCTCGTGCGCCCTGCCCCCTTGCCCTGCATGGCGGACGCCACAACTCCCGGCCCTCCGCCCCCTATACCGCCCCAGCTGCCCCAGCTGTCCCTCGATTCCCGCGCGTACCTCTCCGTCAGCTCGCAGAGCTCCCGGGACTCTGGCCGCAGCGTCACGCCCTGTGCGGGACTGTGCGACACCAGACCGACGGCGACGCCGACATGGCCGTGCACGTGGTTCATCGGCGGCGTCGGCCAGCCTGCCGAAGAAGGACTGACAGGCGGTGCCGGCGGAAGCGAGCGATTCGGCGGGGGACCAGGACGCGGAGTCTGCCCACCGCGGCCGAGGCCGGGACTGACAAGATCGGGAATCTCGAGCGGGAATTCGTGGGGCCGCGTAAGCCAACCACGCACCCGCCACACCGCCTGCCGTACCCTAGCGCTAAGCCCTGGCCTCGGCGGTCTCGCTTCCTCTTGCGAGACAGGTAACACGGCAGCCAGCGACATGTTTCAGGCCACGGCGCGATGCATCACCAGCGAGACGCAGGGCACATTGCATGCCGCGAGGCTGCGGCGGTGTGTACGCAAGCGCCGTCAAGCAAGGGCGGACGACGCGCTGTCGGGTGGATGCAGGTACACGGGCGGGGGCGGTCGGGAGGCGGGGTTTCGCTGCGGGTGAGAGGGCGCTCGAGCGACGCGGCGGGGCTTGGATGGCAGTACAGGTAGGATCTGTTCCGAGTTAAGCTTGAGCCATCATGTTGAACTCTGTACCGTATCTGAGATTTGGCTTCCACTGAGGGCCTCGCCCTCGTCGTCCTGGTGGAGGCACGTCTTTCTAGGTAGGCAAGGTAGGTACCTAGGTATTCAGACACTTGCCAGCTGGCGCCCGCATTGACGCTGCGATGAGCGGTGGTCATTCCGTGGCGTTCTTTCCTGACGGACGAATCGCATCTCGACAATGTGTGGAGACCCTACGTAGGCCAGATGCAAGGGCAAACGTAGGGAGGATTGGCGTGGTGTGGGTGTTCGTCGAGGGGAGGGAAGAACTGTTGGTCAGTTCGTGCTTGAGCGATGCAATGCAACGTGTTGGCCAGAGACACAGCGACTATGCAGCATTTGTGCGCCTAGTTGGATCCTGAAAATTGGTCCAGAGGGTCAATTTGGGCGATGAGGTTGCGTTGCAGAGGAGCATGACAAATGCAAGTTTAATGAAGTGACGGGTTCCAAGGGGCAGCCTTAAGAAAGTCTCTTTGCTCTGGACAAAGGAGATGTCTATTCCTGAAGCTATCATGAAGCATCAAAGCACAAAGGGGTGCTGATTTTACCTTTGGGTTAGTTGTTGTGAGGTAAATGAGTGTCGCTTTTGGACTCGGACTCTTTATCCTGATGTTGCACGAGACTGGCAATCAATTGGGCACTCGGCTTCAATGTCACTGTCTCCTTCAGTCCGAGTATCACGATCCTCATCGTGTCTAGGTACCTAGGTAGGGATGGGACCATAGCCCCTTTACACACATACATGCGCCCAAACTCAAAAGGCAAGAAACGAAATCATGACCGCAGGGTGGATGCATACGCCTTGGCTCAGAGGTTTCCTGCGCGACACTGTTCCTGACCCTTTCCACTCGGCATACTTTCAACATGCAGCTGCAAGGGCACACTGGACGGCTGACTTGCTGGACATGTTGCCGTACCAAGAGATCTCTGCGAACGTCATGTCACCGAAGCATGCATGTTGACACAATGACGCTGGCGTGTATGACCCTCACGCTTAGGACTTTGTCGCCACCCACAGATCGATATCCAAGCTCTTCAGAGATTCTTCTGCCATGCCAACTCGTGAAGCCTCGTCAGCTGATCATGTCTGTAGAGCCATGTTGGCCAATGCCATCGCTTGGCGAGGCTGCAGATAGCTCAGCCAGTTCATGAGCGTTGGTGTATGTCTAATCTGGTGCATCAATCTTTTGGAGCCGTCGCGATCCCGAAATATCCCCCGTTGTTGTTGTACTCTACCCAGTGCCGTCCGTTGTGCCGAGGGATGGATGTCTCGTAAACATGAGGCTCTTCTGAGAAATTGTGTTTCGTCATCATATTTTTGGACCACAGCCTACACGACATGGGGCTTTCGTCCCTCTGTGTTTGAGGACAAGAACACACATCTGTTGAAGACGATTGCTGGTTCCCTCAGGACAACGTGATCTGCAGCCAAGGATTGAAATTTTACTACGCGGACAGTCTTGTTTTCATGAGGCAGCTCAATCCCATAGCTCTGAACCACACTGACAAGTAGAATATTTCAAGCCTCATGATGGTTCGCGCGCCGGCTAGCATGTCTTGGTGAGCCCATGCCAAGGCCGGTACACGGACCCCGCGATTCAGGGGAAGGCGTGGCAGCGAGCAGCATGCATTGCATAGCGCGCCGGGCGCTGCTCAGGAGCAGAAACATTAGCTGCGCGTGCTAATGACTTCATTTCGGCAGGGCCACCGCCGTTTTCTGTTGCTGGCGGCCGTCCGTCCTCTGCTTGTCCCTGCGCGGCCCCATCCCCTCCTCCACACCAGGAGTGCCTCATGGGTGATGCTCAAACTCGGGTGACGATTCGCAGAGGACCAACGACTTTGCTGACATGTTCGAGCTGGGGGGGGGGGGGACAGAATGATAGGCACTGTCCGGTCACATGGCAGAACACCCAGCAAGCTGCGGCACGGAGCACCCAGATCAGCCACAGGGGCCTCGCTCGATTGGTGGGCCCTGTAGCCTTGTCAATCCCAATCGGTGCGGAAAAGGGGGGTGACCCCTGAATGGGGCCCCTCTGTATTTGGCTGGTGGGGATGGAATGAGTGGTCAGCACGGATGGCCTGGCCTTGATGTTGTGTGACAGCTGGCAAAGATGGGGGGAGGCCAAACGTGCTATTGAAGGCAAAGGTCGGACCTCTTGCTGCAATCGTCTTGGGGGTGAAGCTTTGGCCGATGGATCTTCATCTCCCGCTGCAGCTTTTTTCGGCGGACTGGGGCTATCTTACATGGTAGTGCTCTCTGCTTTTAGGTACCCGAGCAGTGTTTCGAGTGGGCAGTCGCAGAGCCGGCGCAGCGTCCCATGGCCACTGCAGCTTTGCCCATCACATGGTTCGATGTACTTGCTGGCTGAGTGAGTACATGGTAGGACCTACCTACCTAGGTAGGTAGGTACTGGTCCTCCCCCCTCTTCTCTGCCGACTGCTTGCTGCTCGTCTGGAAGAAGGTATCGAGGGAGGCAGTCTGGAACCTAATACCTACCTAGGTAGTCCCATGTTTCTGAACAGCGCAAGCCGTTCAGCTCTTCAACCCGCCTTCGCCATTGCCTTTGCCATCCATGGTCACAGTCGATTGACCCCATTACTGTTGCAACCACCCCTCGCCAACTCGCTAACTCGCCAACAACCTATGTACCTCAAGACCCAAAGGAGCAAGGCAGTATACAGCACAGCACAAACTGGGCACCGATTCAACTAGGGGCGTCCAATGCCTACTTGTCCCGCAGTGAATGTCGTGCCTCCGTTTCTTCCTACTCTTCTACCCTGCATTTGTCCTCATCATTGATACCTGACCGAATCAACCGAAGCCCCCAATCATTCTACACTTAGTCGATCAATTAAGTCAATCAACCGACCGACCATATCTACTCTCTTCACCCCCTCGATCCCTTGAGTAGACTTACTCGGCGACAGTAGAAAACTGGACATACAACACCAAGTCGTTTGCCATATCAGCTTGTCAGCGCACACACGCACGCACCACCCTGCCTAGGCAAAGAAAAAAAAGCAATAAACCAAGTGCCTAGGGGGGTCCACTGGTAAAGAGCAGGTGCTCGCTATACATTTTGATCATCACGACAAGGCGGCAGAGACCCATTGCACAACTGTCGTGCTTTATTCTGTCTCTTGCTGCTGCTGCCGCTGCCGCCAGCCCGCCAGGAACACATCGGTTGCCGGCTTGCAAGACAGTGCAACATTGCCAGCCCATCATCATTTCCCCCGCCACGAGACCCGCTACTTCGGATCCCGCTTCTGGAATCTCTGCCACTTGGTCTCGGGTTGCGAAATGAGAGAACCCCCTTTGAGCGTTCTTCAACCCTGACCCCGACCCCGAAGCGACCTTCCCGTCGACCTCCCCTCGACCGCCCCTCGACCTTCCTCCTACACCATTGTCATGTCTGGCGATACTTCCAATCAACGACGCCGTCGTCGCCCTGATCTCAACATTGATACCTCGCCCAAGCACGATTCCAACACCCACGCCGTCTCTCACGACAAGTCACTGTGCGACGCAGATCCCCTGACGCCCCCTGGAAAATCCAAGACATCAGCACCGCTCCCCAAAAAGCCAGCACCACGGGCGCTTAAAGCACCCTCCTACTCCAACCCCATAATGCAGACGACTCCTTTTTAGAGACGCCGACGCCAATCGACACAGACATGTCCAATAAGGAAAACACAAATCCTGCCTACAGTCGGGCCAGGGACTCCCACGACCTGTCCCCTACCCGCTAGACAGGTGACACGCGATTCTTTGATGACCAATATGCTCATGTCCCTCGACCAATTTTCTATGCCATCTCTTGGAACGAATGCGAGTGGAAGTGGCACAATCAGCGGCAACGGCAAAGGCGCTTTGTTTGACGACCCATCACAAAGCTACGTGTACAACAGCGACGCCGACCCACTGGCACGAGCGACGGCAGGTCGAGACAGACGCGCAAACGGACACGGCTATTCCTACAGCTCCGACTTTGACGGCGCCGACGATTCCAGCCGATATTCTAGCCAGCACTCCCGCGGCAGGAGAAGCAACAGCAGCTCGAACTTTCAGACGAACCTCGGCCGCATTAACAGCATTCGCAGCACCCCGGGCACGCCCCGGCACATGCACTCACGAGGCGGTGGTAAAGGAAGCAAGAGCAGCAGCACAAATAGCGTCGACGCCGGCTACGCCCAGGTGCTCAGCAGTCAGCGTTGGGCTCACGGTTTCGGCAAACGGTCGTCGAGCTTTGATTACGGCCACCGACCCCAAATAACGACCAACAACTCCCAGCAGGCACCCTGGCACGTCGAGTTCTCCAACACTTTTCTCAGCGACGACTACGACGCGGCACCGACCCCGACTGTCCCTGGCGGCCCGCGTCGCTATCCCGTCATTACGAGCCCGACCTTCCCTCCCGTACCCCCTGAACCGATTGAGCCTCAGGCCCCGGCCCTCGAGCGCAAACGATCTGCCCGATCCGCGAAAAGCACAGCAACAAGCCGCAAGACCGATTCGAAGAGCAATACCATGACGCGCGAGTCGATACCCCAAAACACGCCAACGCCTGAACCCGACTCGGCGCCGGCGCCTCATATTGGGTACGAGAAGACGAAAGTTCCCGTGCACGGAGCACCTGCCCCAACACAACCGCCGTCGCAAACAAAAGAGCGACCAGGGTTCTTCAGGCGAGTGTTTGGCTCGTCTAAGAGTAACGCTGCCAGCAACAATGTTGAGCCGCCACAGGCCAGTGCCAATGACACCGAAAACCGGCCCAGCAGCCGCCCCCAGAATGGTGCTAGTCAGGCCAAGTCACAATCAACCCCTCCCTCGCGAGACACGTCTTCGTCCCAGTCACACCAGCCTGTTCTTCACAAGAAGCCCTCGTCCTTTTTCAGGAGAAGGAAAAAATCGAATGCTGAACCACCAGTGCCGCCGGTTCCCGCTCCGAGCATTGAGCCTCCCATGCCCTCTGCGGTGCCGCCCCCGTTCCTGATTCCTCCCAGCAAGGAGAAGCTTGCCGTCAAGCCAGAACCGAGCCCTGTCAGCAGTCTGCGTAGGGTTATGAACCCATATCTCAAGGGTAGCCCGGTGACACCCAATGCACCTCACCCATTCCAAACTATCGCCCAGAATGCGGAAGCATCGCCCGAGCCCGAGGTCGTAAGGCCCTCCACCCCAGAGCGCGAACCGCAAGGATACAAGCGCTCCTTCTCCCCCGATTACGAACCGAGCCCGAACGCGCGCATTCGAGAGGTCAAGTCAGACCTGGAGAAAGAGCCGGAGCCTTCAGCAAACGCTGACGAGGCAATTTCGGACAATGAGCGACGCAACGACACCCCGACGCGACCCCCGCCCGAAGTACCACAACCCATCGGCAAGAGAGACGACTCGTTCTTGAATCTGGATGGATCTGATGATAACGAGGTGGAGGTTGCAACAAAATACAAGACAGCGTCGACGGAGAGGATGAGGAAGTCGAGCAAAGAATTGTTATCTGCACCGGCTCTGGAGCCACCCGTCGATAAAGAGAATGCGCACCGCGCGAGAATGCCGAAGGCTAATGAAACCGAGGTGGTTGATTCAGAGGACGAAAATCGGTCCACACTTGTCCTGCCGCTGGAGGGTGCCCGATCGGCTAGCATTCGATCAGGGTCCACCGGCACAGAGTACAAGTCGGCACTCCAGACACCCAGCGTGACAGTGGAAGATAGCTCAAAGATGCTCGAATCCATGAATGGCAAGCCCCTCGACGAGCCCGAATTCGTTGTTGGCGATCCGACCGACGATGATAGGCAAAAAGCACAGAAGATTTATGACGGAAACGAAGATTTCATCCAGAAGGAAAAGGCGGCGGCTTGGATGGGAGAAGAAGGCCTTGTTCGACAGCGCACCCTCCAGGCTTACATGGAACTGTACGATTTTGCCAATAAGAGCGTCGTGCAGGCTCTGCGACAGGTCTGTGAAAGGCTCGTCTTCCGAGCAGAGACGCAGCAGGTTGATCGCATTCTGGTTGCCTTTTCGAAGAGGTGGTGCGATTGTAACCCCAATCATGGATTCAAGGCTTCTGGTCAGCCTTCCCCTACCTGCCTTCTGCCGAACAACAAGCTAACATTGGCAGACGTTATCCATACCATCTGCTATTCGATCATGCTTCTGAACACAGATTTGCATCTGGCAGACATCGAATCTAAGATGACCCGCAGCCAGTTTGTCAAGAACACCATCACAACGATCATTCAGGCTGTTGGTGAAGCGGCGCCCAACGCATTCAAGCGACCCAGTATTCTCCCCGAGAAGGACAGTTTACACGCTACCAACGAAGACGTCAGACCTTCTGCTGACGAGCGCTCGAACCGGTTCTCCTTCAAGCCTGCGCCACGACGCGAGCCCAGCGCAGATGGTGCTGAGGGTGTCGAAAAAGATGAGTGTGGTCCTCTAGTAAAGGCACCTTTCGGCGGCACCATGCGGGCTTGGGAGGCACAGGTCGAGATTGTGTTGAAGCTCATCTACGCGTCGATCAGGGACGAGCGACTCCCGTTGTTCGGCGCCGAACCGTCACGAAACCTCGGCCCGACCTCCCACAGCAACCTGTCAGTGATGGGCATGCTCAAGCGTTCGCCGAGTGTGCTCAGTAAAGCCCCGTCGGAAAGTCACTCGTCCATCCGAGGTCGTCTTGCCGAGAATTCTCGCAACAACACGGCCCGCTTTGGCTCTAAGAGTAGGTCCAGGCCTCGCCTTGGTCACAATGGGTTTTCGTCCTCGAGGACCAGTTTCGATGACGGCAATTCCATCTGGAGTCCGACGCCGTCGTCTGCAACATGGAGCCGGTATTCTCTGGGTCGCACACAAGGCAGCATGTCCATGGACTCTTTCGGCACACCGTTTCCTCGCGGCGACTACCAGCAGTCGATTGGATTCGCGAACGCACTCAGCCAAGCCATTATCCGCGATGATGCCTCAGGGTTTGGCCCTGCTGCGTCCATTATGAGCGACGAAGCCAATGTGCCCCTCCTCGAAGATGAATCTCTTGAGCTGGCTGGTCCCCCTTGGGTCAAGGAGGGCATGGTCACTCACAAGCACCACCTGGACGGAGTCGCTAAGAAGGCCAAGGACAGGAACTGGACCGAAGTGTTTGCTGTTGTGCAGAAGGGACAGATGAGTCTGTTTTCCTTCACGGCGAACAAGTCAATGGGGCGCAAGAGCAAAATGACGCGTAATGCCGCAAAGAGCAGCACTGTCGCAGTCGGCGGTGGTAACTGGCAGGACAACGCGACCAATCTCGGAACTTTCAGCCTTCGACAGACGCTTGCCTCGGCACTCCCTTCACCTGGGTACTCTAGGACGCGACCGCATGTGTGGGCACTGAGCCTTCCAACCGGTGCTGTGCACTTGTTCCAGGTAGGCACGCCGGAGATCAGCAAGGAATTTGTCACGACAGCAAACTACTGGAGCGCGCGCCTCAGCACGCACCCGCTCATTGGTGGTATCAGCAACATTGAATACGGCTGGAGCGACGCCATTATCAACAACGCTCTCGTCACGGCGATTCACGAGTCTACTGGCGGGGCACCTCCCTCTGGTCGGACGTCTCGTCCGGGAAGCAGCGCAACCGCCAACCCGTCTAATCCGCCGGCAGCTCGAACAAGCATGCAGTCGTCGCGTAGCTTCCGGTCCGCCTCCTTCGATTACCCCTCAGGCCCCTACGGTAGCGGTAGCCGCGGCGTCAAGCTTCCGGGCGACCGCATCCACATCTCCGAGTGGGCGCCACCAACGCAGAGCATGCGCCCCTCCACACAGCCCGAGGCAGAACAACTCCTCACACTGCTGGCCTATGTCAAGGGCGTTGAGGATGAGCTTCAGGTGCACAACAGCCTCCGCAGCCCGATGCTGCTCGCATTCACCCCGCGTGGCCACAATGCTGGGCGGGCCATGGCTAACTGGGAGCGCAAGAGCTCCTACCTGCTCCGCGAGATTGTCAAGTTCCGTACCTACGTCGACTGTCTCCAGCAGGCCGACACGCGGCGCGAGGAGATCTACAACGAGAGAGACACCGCACGACGAGCAGCGCTCGGCGACTTGAGCGACGAGGAAGACGAGGTTGCCGCAGACGGCGATGCGACGCTAAAAGCGTGAGGCTGAAGTTATCCAGCCACCTTTGGGTCGAATCTCAATTCGGGAGGTTGGTTCCACGAGACAATGCTGGCGATGCTGAATTCCCTTTTTATTTTATTCTTTTCTTTTCTTTTGTTACAGCTTACGACGGGGGTGCTTTTTCGTTCCTTGTGCTCTTATTCCAGTTTCTGCTTTTTCTCTTACCTTGACCATGACACGCGGATGAAAAGCAGTTTGATACCCGGCTTCTCCCTCAAGGGCGGAGCGTGTCTGTATTGTTGCTGTACCTATGTTGTAATATTCCTTCTTGGGTCATCTCATGCACGCGCAGAGAGAGAGGTGGAGAGAGGGGAGCAGAAGATGGCCAACCCGCTTGATTGGGGCTGGGTATGACGGAGAAGAAAATCAACTTGGCTCCGTCTTTTGACGATAGCTCGAAGCGGGTGACGGGACGATTCATGACGGGACGCGTACGGGGCGGGGCATGTACGATTGGTGTACTGTAGCAGACAGCAACCCAGCCGCCCCCGAAATAAAACACCATGAAGAATAATTGAGAATGAAAGAGGCTGTTGGCGGGCCAATTCGTAGGTCCCTCCGTGTCTGTCAGCCTGCACTAGCGGTTTTTCTAGCTTTGTACTGTATAAGGTACCTACCTGGGTACATGACGCAGGTTGAGCTCTCAATTGAAAACACGAAGGAGGGCCCCGCTTGCGTATGCTGTGCGGGGTGCGGGCGCAGGCGCCGTCGTCCGGGCGCCTGAAGTCTAAAATCAAGGCTCGGCGGGCGGTAGGCGTGAACTCTCCGTGGCCCTTAATTCTTCAACGGCGCCGGCGCGTGTGCCCAAACCTCCTCGCGTGCCCGTATGGTGGTCACTCGTCCGTCCATCGAATGACACGGCGTTGGCCGGCGAGAAGGGCACTGGAACGAGACGAAACGCAAGCACGGAAGGAAAAAGAAAAAGGGGTGAATGCACTCTAATCTATCAATATGACACGATTATCATACAAGCCTGCCAGGGGGGAGAAACACAATAACCCCTCTGAACAAAAAAACATGGAACAGTCTGGCAAAACTGAAAATGAGCCCGGTCGATTTGACCCCTCCTCCTCCTCCACGGACAACCAACCACCCTGCTCTCCCGAGCGCACCGTGATATGCAATCAAGAACAGGCTAAACAAAACAGTGCCGTCCATTTCCAATTCTCGAAACCGGCCAAAACAAATGAAATGGTAGTCTGGTATTATGCGTGGTGTTCGCGTGGCGGGGCTCAATCCAGCAGCCGCCACCTGATTTCCTGGCGAGCAAACTCTCCATTTCGTCCTTGGTCGTAAATCTCTTCTCTCTGCGTTGGGTATTTTTTCAAAGAATGGTAAAGGTAGTCTTGGTCGTTGACTGGCGTCGTCTACCAGAGGAAGACACCGGCAACGGCGGCCAGGGTCAGAACAAGGGCGCTGGCCTGCATGTGGGTGGCAGCGCTCTCATCAACAGACGCGGCGGAGCTCTGGGCAGCGGCCGCTCCGGTGGTGGTGGTGGCCTCGGCGCTAGTAAGAGTAGTCGCGGCGGAGCTGGTGGTCCTGGTCGTCCTGATGGTCGTCGTGTTGGCGGGCAGCGAGGAGCTCACGGGAGCCGATGAGATGGTGCTGGTCTGTTTTCATCATATTAGCAACGACTTCTTTCGTGGGGGCTTCATTTTGTCCAACGTACCTTGACGATGGAGCTCAGAACGTCCTCGATGGAGGAGACGACGGCGCTGATAGAGGCGGAAGCAGAGGCAGCGGCAGATGAGGGAAGCTTGGAAGTGGCCGAGGGGAGAATGGAGGTCTCGGACTTGACGGGGTCCTCGGTGGTGTCCTTGAACTTGCCGGCGTCGCTCTCCTTGCCGCCAACAACCCTGATGCTCTCCCAGCTGCCCTGACCCTTGGTGTAGACGTACTCGCGAGCCGCCTTCTTGCCGCCGGCGTAGTCCTGGATGGTGACCTTCTGGTAGTGAGCGGCGAAAGGAGCCTGGTCCCACTGAGCGAGACCGCCAGCCCAGTCGATGGTGCCCTGCTGCTCCTTGCCACCCTTGCCGCCAACCCAGGTTCCGAGCTTGAGCTGCATGGGGGTCTGGGGGTAGGAACCCTCGGCGGGCGTGGCGGTGCGGACAACGTTGCCGTCGATGGAGAAGGTAATGGCGTCCTGCGTCCACTCGATGGTGTAGGCATGGAACTCGTCCATGGCGTTGAAGGGCAGCTCGTGCTTGCGGCCGTAGGTGTAGTCCTTCTTGCCGAGGTGGAAGTAGTTGGTCTGGACGTGGGTGTGGTCGCCACCGATGAACTCCCAGTCAATCTCGTCGAGAGCGTCGGACTGGAGGACAATGCTGGTGATGATGCCCTGGCCGGGCGAGGCGCGGAGGACACACTCGACCTTGCCGAAGAAGAGGTACTCCTTGGAGGTGAGGGTCGGGGCGTTGCTCTCCTCAAAGATGATCATGGAGGCTCCAGCGCCGCCGTCGAAGGACATCTGCTTGTCGTTGTAGACGACACCGGGGTCGACGGTGAAGAAGGAGTTGAGGTCGTCGAGCTTGGTGGCCGTGGTGAAGTCGTACTTGGCGGCGCCACCGAAGGCAGGGTTGGGTTTGCAGTCGTCGCCCTCGACGGGGTTGCACAGAGACCAGGTCTGCGCCGAGGCCATACCGGCGACGGCCAGCGACAGGGCCGCCGATTTGAAAGTGGTGTGACGCATTGTATCGGGTTTGGTGTATCGTCAGAAGATTCGAAATCCGAACGAAAGACTGAGAAGAGGAACTTCTCGAAGAGAGGACCACACAAAGTTAATGAAGAAACGGAGAGAGAGAAAGAGAGAAACAGAAGCCGAATGCGACGCTGACGACACGGTGGGGGGGAATGCGAATTCCTTAAAGAGAGTGAGGCGTGTGATGAGAAAAGGGAGAGAGAGAATTAAAGGGTGGGCTGGGCGACGGGAAGGCGAAGCAGCTGAATACGATGGATGCTCTGGGCATTGGTGCTGTGCTGCGTGCTGACAAGACGCCAGGCGATTGAGGTGAGACTGGGCAGGCGCCAGACACACAACCAACCCCCCTTCCTCCTTCCTCCTTCTGCCCTGCCGTTTTCTTTGGTCTCAGACGGCGCGTGGGCAAGAGGCACAGCACTGGCAGGCACAGATGAGCCCCAGTAGTGGTTGGCTGGTTCGGGCAGGCGCAAAAGGGAGGGTCCCTGCAAATCTGGCAACGTAGCACTCTGGTAGGGCAAGAAGGCATCGTGGGCCAAAACACGGGGTCGCTGTGACTGCATTCCCATTGGCCTGACGCTCTAGACCCACCTCAGCCGAAATTAGCACAGGCGTGGAACGGAGAGGAGAATCAGTGAGGGCCTCGGTGAGGGACAATGGAACGGTATCATCGATACGCTAGGTACGCTGCTGCCACGGAAGCCATTTCGTCGTGCCACTGAGCCAAAAAAGACAAACCCCAAGGTCCGGCTATCGCTGAGGAGACGGGTGCTATGCGCTGCAACCTTCTCACCGTGTGAGGCATGTTGCTGAGCCCATGGGCCCTGGAATGCAGCCTGGTGCATCCTGAGAGCGGCCTCGTGTCTTGCGACATAACAATGGCAGTCCTGCACTCTTGCACTACATGTAGATTCGGGGCTAATAGGGGGAGCCAAGCGCTGCCCAGCCCGTTGGCTTCCTCATCAAGCCACCGAAGCGGTCCCCCAAGCTGCCCCTGGGTGAGGCCGAAGGAACCAGCCCCCAGCAGCGTAGGTACATGTGTACTGGGCCCAGCTCCTTCCATCCTCCAAGACCCGCTGTACTAGCTATGGCCGCCGGCTAAAACGGGCCTCGTGTTGAACTGTGTGATTGACCGATGGACGATCCTAAGGGCCCACGTTATAAACGTTAGGGCCTTGGGCAGAATGCTTCGTGCCTCTTCTCATCTCCCTGCATGCAGTTGGTCGCGAGGGTGCCAAGCCTCGTAATGAAGCAGCTCGAGATTGCATCTTGGTTGGAACTTCTGACTACTTGGCTGATTTTTTCGGCTGGTACTGCATAAAAAGCGAAACAACATGCATACACTCATGCTGCCTGTCGTAGGCTCTTCATGAACGGTCGACGACTCACAGCAACCCACCTTCGCCGTACCCTACCATCGTGCCCCTGGTCCCAGGTCCCAGTCATACTCGATGCAGCGAATCTCATTTTTGCGATTCGCGAATGGAAAGCCCCGCCATTTTCGCTCAGAGCTTCTGAAGATCTTTGTGGGCCATGGATCATTGAACTGCGACCACAAATCTGCACGGTCCCTTTTGGAGCTACGACTCTCTAGCTTCGAGACCATGACATGGCCAAGACGGCCAAAGACACACGGCCGCGCGCTCAGCATGTGTTGAGCATGCTGGTCAGCGCTGTGCGCTCGGCACTGGTAATGGTGAGGCTATACGAGCTCTTGACCTGGATCCAGCTCCGCGCGTACGTGCACCGGAACGCCGTCACGGGGGGTGACCACAGATCTGGGCTGCGATCGCCCTTGGATCGGTTCGTGCTGGCTGAGACAGCCCACAGCTGCGGGCCCGACAGGTCGTTGGCGAAAGCTTCCCGTCGTGCAGCCGTCCATGTCGAGGCGCCCGACTGCATCCACTGTCATCAGCCTTGGATGTCGCACAACTGCTGTCTTGGGAGGGAGAACACAGGCAAGAGAGGGAGGGGGCGGGAGGGGAAAAGACGCACGATCCATGCATTGGCCAGCGGCACCATGTGGTCAATGTCGACCGACGACGATTGTGTCACCGTCACGCCGTCGTACGGGCTGAACCATGTTCCAGACGTCGGCTGGCATGCGCTGTCGGTGCTGACGCCGGTTCCATCCCGCACGAGCACCGTCTCACTGCCGATTACACGTGTCAGTTGCTCCGAATGGGTCATGGACTTGATGGACGACACTTATTGCGTTGCCCTCTGGAACTCACCGTGAATCGCATGTGCCTGATACAATGTGCCAGTGGCGGAACAGGCTGCGGTCATAGTCGGCCGTCGATCCTGCGGCTGCCACTGTCAAACCCGCAAGAAGGGTCCTCGCCGAGGTCGCCGAAGGGATTCCGGGCTGTAGTTCCGACACTGTCAGTCGTGCGCCGGCCAAACGAGGATCCAACCAGACGGGTACGAACCGGATCGGCCACAGCCACAGGAGCCGGGACCGGTGCAGCAAAGACTCCAGCAGTCCCAACGAGAAGCCCCATGATCGCAGTGGTGAACTTCATATCGGCGATAAGGCGAACGCCGTGATCAACCTTGCAAGAAAACAGAGGCAAATGCGAGGCTGTGAGACCAGATATTGAGTCGTCTGAAGATTCTCAAAACCAACTTTGATCATCATTACACGGGGCTTCTATAGCTTTTTATCCACGTACGGGCAGTCGCACATTGAGTCGTGGTTCTTATCTCAAAAGACACACTCGCACCCCGCGAAACACCAAGACTTCCCCGCCTCTACCTACTCATCTGAATACGCGTCTACATTTCATCGGAGCCCGCCGCTATCAATGATACCGGTGCTTATTTCCTCTTCATCCCCATGTGGCAGGGTACACGCAACCACTCACAGCCCTTGTACTTCCCACGATCGATTTTCCTTAGCCTTTATCCCCAATCCGCGATGACCTCCAGGACCAGGACCCAACCAGAAAGGGCCCTGAGTTGCTAGGCTCTTCACTTCTGTACGGCCTGTCTCTTCAAGAACCAATTCCTGACCTACCGCTGTCAGTCTTTTGCGAAAGATGTTTGCCACTCCGGCATAAACATGCCGGGGGCGCATCGCAACATCAGCCAGCGCAGCCACTCAAAGGGCGATATGTCACCACGTTATCGTAGCTGGCGATTGAGATTATCTGCTAGCGAGCGCTTTGGTCTCGGGTACACAGGACATCATGGATGGACAAGCTGAGAGATGCCTCCTTGGGTAGCCAAGTGCCGATGGCGGCGCGGGGTAAGGGTTGGCTGGATGGCTATCACGAAAGGCACATGCATCACGCCGATGCTCTTGCGGTGAGGACGGCATTTTGCCCAATTTGGCATACTACGAGGCGGGGCGGACGTTGTCTGACAGAAATCACTGTCGGGAGGTGCCGCAGCAATATTGACGACTCGCTATCGGCGTGCCGCCAGTTCCGGATGATGAAGCACGTGGACAGACGATGCCTGAACGGCATTGAAGGGAAGGAGAAATGGCTGCCTGAAACCCAAGCAACAGCAATTGACATGCGACAGGCAGTGGCTCAGACCAAGGTGATATCGCTCGCAAATCCCTCACTTGTAGCTTCATGGCATGGGAGGTGAGACTGGCAAGCAGAGTCAATTGAGGCTTGGGTCAAAGTCGAGGTAGCAAGGGCTCCCTGTCGTTGGCGAGGGCGAATCTGAGTTTCCGGCCGGCCAGAAGCCAGTGACAAGCGATAAGCCAGGCCCGCCGAGCAAGCGATCGTCTGTGTGTCCAAGCTTTCAGATGACGATAAGTCCCAGGGGCCAGCATCGATTTTCAATATGCAGGGAAGGCCGTCGCTTGTGAACCGCTGTGTCGAATCTGAACAACGAGGCACGCATCAAGAAATGGATAAAGCAAGTACCATACCTGGAAGGAACAATGCCTTTGCTGACGGTCTGGAAGGCTTGTGAGGGTGCTTGATCTACTGACATGTATCAGAAAATTGTTACCGGAATTCAACAAACAGTCTGCGTGGCTTAGCTGGTCAGAGCGTCGGTCTCATATTGCTTAATATGACTGAGTCATAAGACTTAGATATCCGAAGATCATGAGTTCGATCCTCATCGCGGACATTTGTTTTTGCCCAATGGAAAGGTCCACTCTTTTTGCCCATCAGTTTCTTTCATCCTAGGTACATGCAACTCATAGTCAAGAATGTTGGAGTCGCCCGGTCCTCCCCGTTCCGAAGTTTACATAAATTGGGATGTCAAGTGCGTCATCCATGATGCATGTTGATGTCGCGCAAGAATTGTTAAATACAACTGCTTGTTCATGCATTCTATCTTATGGTCGACCTGCCTTCTTCAAATGTTCTTCCATCTGTTGCCGCGGCTAGGCAGGTTGACCTCTGGAAACCTGTTGTCCTTCTGCCATGGCAAAAGATCGGATCCCTTCACGAGCCAGTGTAGTACGTCCCTATCCAGTTGATCCACCACCTCCTTGAGCTGCGGCTCTTGTGCCAGATTATGCATCTCGTGAGGGTCGCCGTCACGATCGTACAGTTCAGCTGGCTCGTATAAACGAAAAATGTAGGCCCACCTCTCGTTTCTGAGCGATATTGCTTTCCCAACGAGCGAAGTATCCTCGTGCTGCAGTCCCGCCTTGATATCGTATGGATACGGCGCCTGTTCCAGAAGAGGCTCTTCTGAGGTCAAGAAGCCTCCTTCGGAGAAAGCATACGTCTTATGTTTTTGTGCATCCCCAACTAGGACCGGGATCCACGACTCGCCATTGTGAGGAAAATTTTCGCCAATGCCCGACATTTCGGGAATCGTCGGGACGAGGTCGACCATCGCCGTCATGGCAGCGACCGTCTTTCCCTCGAGAAGCCCTGCGCCGCCGATGATGAGTGGTTCGCGCATGAGCGTCTCCGAGAGACCGGACTGCCACTTCTCGACGAGGTCGTGGTCGCCGAGGTACTCGCCGTGGTCCGTGAAGAACATGGTCACCGTGTCCTTCAACAGGTCCAGCTCATCAACGCGCTTCATGACGCGGCCAAAATGGTCATCGAGTCGAGAGGTTATGCTGAAATACGTTGCCTTGGCCTCTTGCCAGATCTTGTCCGTTGCACGTCCGGTGCCGTAGCCTTTCGCAGATAGTCTTCATATACCTCAGCTCATAGGCCGTCCTTTCTTCCGGTCGTGACACAACGCCTGTCATTGCTACTGCGACCCCTATCGGTTTCTGATACCTGGGATTCGATAATCAATTCCCAAACATGCCACGGAGAAAACCCCCCCTGACATGGTAGAGAGCTACCAGAAGATTTGGTTGGACAAGGCTATTTGACTTTGCGAATTCTGGTTTGAGGTTTATCCGCTACAGCCCTCTCAAGCCATCGACGACATGATTATTGCTGTCAGAATCTACCAGGTCTCTCAAATCTTATAGCATCTTCAACCTCTGCTACCAGAAGAGGGTAGCCATTGCATCGAGAGCCTCAAAGCTAAACTTGAGTGTGCGTTGCAGCTGACAGCCTCTCTGAGGACTTCTTTCAGTTCATCGACGGCTTGCCTGAAGGCGTGCGATAGAATCGTCAGCATTTTGGGTCAAGTCCCGCAACAGCCGTCGCGATTATCGGCGTGGATGAACTCGAAAACCAACATCATCTTTAATCCAAGCATTCCTTTATTCCCACGATATCAAGACAACGACATGGGTCGAAAACTAATCACTCAAGCAACCCAACATCTCCCACCAGGTCTGTTCCAGAAAACAACCAGCGGCGAGCAGAGGGCTTTGGCTTGCAGCCGGGGTCGGCTACATGGATGGGATTCCCTTCGAAATGCAAATGAACGACTCCTACGACCCGGAATTTGGAGGGTTCCTCATGTCGATAACGAGGTAGAGTAGCTGGGTCAATGTGTAATCCTCAAGCGATGCTTCAATGCCCTGCATGAAAAGATCAATCTTGATATTTGTAGGGTGACAAATGACCTGACGTCCACTGCTTTCCATGAGATGCCGAGCTGACGCTGTCTCTCTGATCAAAACTGCCTTGGCTTGATTTACCTCGCCTGTCCGTCCCTCGCGGAGCTGGATGGGCTTTGTTTTAATTTGATGATCCTTGTGAGTGGAAACCGAGTCCAACGCTGCAAGTAAGATTGCGATACTTGACCTGAAATCCTGGGTCCAGTAATGCACTGTAGGTAGACCACGTTTCGCGCCGGGATCCGAGTCAGTGGGGCCCTCTTTCAACCCCTTTCCCGGCACCAAAAGTAGTACTCCTAGTGCTGCGGCTCAATCCCTTTGACCTATTGTTGTTAGGATAAAGTCGTTGCACGTTCCCAGTATGTTCACCAGGAGTGGCTCAAGGTTCCGAGAAGATCGGTAAGCCTTTCTTCCGAGGGGCCGCGAGCGTGTTGACTTTGCTGTTTTCCTCGCCGCGCTTTCAGGACATAAAGTCCTACACACATGTGCACTTATTTTCCGTCCTCGTCTCCTTTGCATCGTTTCCGGCGCGAGAAATAGTATGTCCATTACCATGGCATTGTTGCTAGTAGCCCTTTCAGCAGCAGCGGTGGCGGCCTCTTCGAAGGACCGCTCGAACACTCTTGATAGATACAACGGCCCCTTGCGCTTTAGTCAGGACGGCACCTTCCAGATTTCTGTCATGCAAGATTTGCACTTTGGCGAAAGCATGAGTCCCAACCCTGACCGACGCACCCTCAAATACTGACGGAGGATTCTCAGATTCATGGGAGTTATGGGGGCCTGCTCAAGATGCCAAAACGCTCGAGGTCATGAACACGGTCCTAGACACTAATCCGCCAAATCTCGTTGTTTTCAATGGAGATCTAGTCACCGGAGAAAACCTGTTCTTTGAGAACAGCACCCATTACGTTGACGTGATGGTTGCTCCTCTCATCGAGAGAAATCTCACTTGGGCTTCGACCTATGGAAATCACGATTATCAGTTCAATGTCTCTGGTCAAGGTATCTTTGAGCGCGAGAAGCGATTTTCGAACTCCCGTACGCGGAGGATGGTCGCTGACGATAATGCCGGCGCAACCAACTACTATCTACCCGTGTATGCCGAGGACTGCCACCACTGCGATTGTGTCCCCGAACTACTACTGTGGTTCTTTGACAGCCGAGGCGGGTTCAAAGTTCAGGAGCGTCAAGCGAACGGCGCGGATGTTAGCCACCCTAACTGGGTCGATTCATCCGTCGTCGAATGGTTTAGAACATCTCATGCACGCATCGCCCAACGCTTCGGCAAGACCATACCGTCTCTCGGTTTCGTTCATATCCCCACGCAAGCATCCCAGGCACTTCAATTGTCGGGCGTACACCCCAATCACCAGCCTGGCATCAATTACGATACCCCACTCTCGCAGCAGGCCCAAGGATGGTGCCCAGACGGTAAACCAAACGCGAAGTGCAGATATGGAGGTCAGGATGCCCCATTCATGGAAGCCATAGCCTCGACACCAGGTATGATTGCGCTCTTCTCAGGCCACGACCACGGAAACACTTGGTGTTACAAGTGGGACAAAGCTGTGAGTGGTGTGGATATTGAGGGGAACGGCGTGAATTTATGCTTTGGCCAACACACAGGATACGGCGGGTACGGTAGCTGGATTCGGGGAGCTCGACAGGTCCTCGTGACCCGGGAGGGACTCAAGCACTTCGAGGTCGAGACATGGAACCTCCTGGAAGACGGCCGAGCTACAGGCTCTGTGGCGCTCAATGCTACGTACGGCCTTGACTCGTATCCCAAGGTTTCGGACGAACACACGAGCTGTAATTGTAAGTGGCTGTAACAGAGATTCTCATCATGCAATGTGAACCACGAAGTCTCATCGCTAACTGATCCAGGTTAATGTTACTTCGCAGCACTGCCATTTTCTGGAAAACGCTGTGAGATTTCGTGATTGGGAGCTTGAAAAAGGTTGATTTGCTCTGTACACTGTTCGACTGGATACATGATAGGGGCCTCCTCAATACCGAGAGTCACCAAGTACGCCGACGTGAAATCCACGTGCCCTCGCACCACATTCACCCTGTGTCAAAGAGCGTTACAACGCCACAACCAGCAGTGACAACAGACCCGCCTCTGACTTTCTTGCCTGTTGCAAAGAAGATCTGCTAGTCAACTGCAATTGGGTGATGTGGGCCTTGATGATCATAAAGATGGCTGGCTGGTCGGCTGGCGCGAGTCAACTGTTGCGCACCAACCGCACCAAGCCACTTTAGGTTATCTATGGAGGGCATGGTCACGGGCCTCGAGAATCATGCTCGGTGTTTTCTGTCGCTTGAAGCGGTCCCAAAGTCGAGTCATTTGATGGTGTATTGTACATGTATAACGGCAGTAGCCTAGGGCTGATGCGGCGGGGGAGGGGTTGTGGACCAGGGGGACGTACAAACCCGCGAAATTTGTTGCGCATCACGAGGGACCCCGAAAAACTACCCATGACACTCCCCTCTCGAGAGCAGCGATGCAGTGAATGAGGATCTCTTGAAGCCCTCTCACGTCTGGGCCCGCCTATACTATGCATTAGGTCTCCGGGACCCGACTAGGGCCGTTCCCACATTCATCGTCTAATCCAGGTCCGTCCCCACGTTGCCACCCTTTACGCCCTGCTAAATCAAGATCAGGAAGGACCATCACACATGCCGATGCCATCTCGTACCACGGGCCCCTTGACTACAGATCCACCGCGTGATCATCAATGGGACTTTGGCCGGGCTCCATGATCATCCGCTGCGTAGAATGATTCATGTCTTAACGGAAAGCGCCCGATCCATGGCAGCGGGTCAGTGGAAGAGTGCGCTGCCTCTTGAGGCACATAGAGATGCCACCAGAAACCCACCTCACGCCCTCGTAGCTGCCCTCGTCGTGCGAGTCAGCCATGAAAGTACCCGTCTCACGCAGCGAGCCGATACAGCCTTGGAAAGTACGGCCGTAACGGCGAGTAGTCCAAGGTTTGGTGATCCAAACACCGGCCTGGCCGTTAGGTACGACGCCGGACAGGGTGACGGAGGCCTGGGTGGTCCAGGTACGCGAGTAGTTGACGCCGAGGGTTCCGCCAAGCCTGTCCTTAATGAACTTGAGATCAAGGCCAGCAGAGACGGAAACGCTGTTGCTGACGCTGTAGCTCGAAGCAACGGCAACAGTCAAGCCGTTTCCCACACCGAGGACAACGGGGGACATCTGCACGTCCCAGTCGATGAATCGTTCAATTTTGTCGGTGACAAAAGACGTGGTTGACGCACACTGCCGGGTCTGGAGGACATGGCTCTCAGCCTCTGAGGTATCGAGGTCGCGAGCGTCAAGATAGGCGTGGTCGACCTCAGGTGTTCCGACCGAGACACCCTCAGACTCCAGCAGAGCGAGCCAAGTGTCCTCGTGAATAACCTCCACTACAAGCTGTTAGTAGGAATCTCAATGGAACCGTGGCTCAATATAACCTACTCCGCCCATTGCCGTAGACGATCACTTCGTTTGGCTGAAGCTCGTGATCAGGAGTCCAAACCGTAGCGTTCAAGTCGCGCTCCGACATGAACGGGGCAGCGGCAACCACGGAGGCCAGGAAAAGGCCGGCAAAGTGGGTGGTGATCATTGTGTATAGACAAGAGAGAAACAAGGATGAGACTGGTGGATGGATGAATGACGGTGATGATCGGTCAAAATTCCCAGACAAGACCACCTCATGATGGGTTTTATAGACAGAGGTTGAATGACAACACATTCCTCGCGCCGTGTGCCAAGATGGAGCCACGGCATTTGGCAAGTTGAGGAATCGGTCACACAATCAGCTCATTTTTTTTTTATTTTTTTTTTGTGGTCTAACTACAGTTGAGAAGCCTGCTATCTCTGTTTTCAAAAGCATCCCGCAAAGCTGTGAAACTGAGTCAAGGTTGCTGCATTAATTATATTGCAACTCCACACCCCTTTGGTGAGCACTAACTATTTCAGGAGCCAAAAGTCATGGGTCAGGTCGATATCCATATCTGATCAGACATTACCAGGATCGCTCTTTGCCTGTTTAGTCGAGAGGAAGGCTACTGATAAGCTTATAATCGGAGTAGCAGGAGTCAACCCTGTTGTCCTGATTGTTCATGACTAGATACATTCGCTGGCCGGCCCTGAATAAATCTCGTGTTACATGAATCAAGGTCTCGTCAGGTGCTTCTTATTGCGACTGTCACTTGTCAACGTCGTGAATACTCCACCGCCTGAAAGACACCTGCCTCTTTAATATGATGAGATCCAAGATAATGCGAGTGCTCGACGTCAGGCACCGGCCGTAATGCCGAGTAAATGAGGTGGCTGCGAGCTCGGCGTGCCCGGCATTGCAGACGGTCACGATACGTTTATGCTCCTGATGATGAGTTTTTAGCCTGCAAAATGATGGCCTGCTCAAAGGTTTCCTCAAGATTGATCGGGGGCAGATTGACAGCATAAGAACGAGCGGGATTCCACATACCTTATGCTTTCGGAACCAAGTTTTTTATTCTTCATATCTTTAGCTTCTACACGCGGCCAACTTATCACAAGATGCATTACCTTTACTCCACCTTTGCAGTTGCTCTTATGCTTGCCGACGGGTAAGTCAAGTCCCATCTTCAAGCTTCTTTGCGATCTAAGAGAGGAGGTCGAAGGTCTCTGGACTGACACCATATTCTCGGCAGCGCTCTTGCCGACTTGCACAAGGTGGCTGTGTGCGTGACAAACCGCAAGTCTGCTCCCATCGGCGGCACAGGTTGGAGCGCCAGCTACAACTGGGCCAAGAACTACGAGATACTTCCTGAGGCGACACGGTGCGCGTGCAACCTCTACCGCCAGCGCAACACTGGAAATAAACAGTGGGATAAGTGCCCCGACTGCACCTTCGTATGGATCCTGGTCCCATACTGCCTCAACTTGCGTTTTACTGATCTTGTTGTAGGATGGCCTCGGCTGCAACTCTGCTGGTTGGCACATTGGCGGCGACGAGGTATATTCAAGAGTTCTTGTCGGGGAAACACGTGGCATGCTAACTCTGGATTGAAGATGAACTATTACTGTTCCAAGAAGTGCGGCGCTCAGGGCTCTGAAGCCAACTAGACGTCAACCCAGAGTGGCTTCTAGGATCCTCCGTTTTGGCCTGTTGATTGCATTTGCGGAATGTCTTGCAATTTCATGTATGCCCAGGTAAACTAGATGGTATTGAGACTTGGGATTCTAGGCTTCTAGGCTTAAAATTAATGTGGTCACTTTCAAAAAGCCGTCTTAATTTGTGCTTGCGCATAGCCTTCACAGCAACTTAGATACTGACCCAGACAGCCGTAATGTTAGTGGCATCGTCAACCATTGATTCGATGATATGTGTCAATGACCTTCCCCGTGGGGACCGTCTCACCCGATCAAGGATCAGCCAATCTGAGAACGCGATTCATGGCGGATGCTTCCGGGCTTTCGGCACACAACCAATCCACTTCGGACGTGTGCTTGACTCGTCCTCCGTTGATGTGACTAGTATAATGTGCGGCCAGAAGGAAGCTGCAGTGATTCCCTGCCAATGTCTTAGCTCACTCTTTGAAGACATTTGTCATGAGGAGGGATGTATTTCCTGAAGCGGTTGATAGAAAGAAATAGCCCACACAAGCCTCTCACCGACCCACCAACTTGCACTACAGCCATTTAATCGGCCTAGGACTTTGGTGCTCTAGGGGTTGAGGATACCCAAGCAGAATCCAGACCAGCCAAGCGGTTCGCAAAAAAAAAATGAGACGTACCGAGTTCCTCCCCCATAACCATTGCTCCTGCCCAGCTATCCAGCCCTGCATTTTTGCAACGACTACAGAACTTCATTCTAGGCAAAAAGCCGTCGTTTGAAATAGGGAATATTACGCTGGTCTGTATTCTTAATAGCTACTATAATTTTAGATCTAGCAGGTGTCTTGTAGTAGTGTTGTGCAGTCATTTAAGGTAGATGGGTTGGGGTGAAGCATTCAGTACGTCTCATTTATTTTGCAAACCGCCCGCCAACCAGTCGTTGGTAAGAGACTTTTGGCTGAGCCATTTTCCTTATCACCCGCTTGCGCCCCTGTCAATCGGGTGTAGCATCCCACCGTTAACGAAGCCGAAGCAACTGAGATCACGGGAATCAGGCGCAGTGTCACCAAGACGAAAAGACCCTTCGGGTATGAAGGAATAGAAGACTAAATGGATTGGCGAGCAAAAGTTCAGTCTTTGCTCAAATGATAGTGAGAGAAAAGCCGTGACCATATAATCAAATGACGTCTAGTGGCTGCCTACGGATAGTAATAATGCCAGCTGCCTCGGAGGAAGTGTCCTGTCTACATGATGGGTACTTCAGGGATGAAGCATCTATTCCTTGACAAGTTTCATCCCAGAGCTCAATAGCCAGGACCTGGAATCGGTGCGACCATTTGCAGGCATCGCTGTCATGTCGATTGGGAGCCATGTCGGCTGGCCTGTTATGTGCCGTATGCTGTGAGCTGCAGCTTCACTCACCCGCAAATCCCCATACAGAATGTTCTACATCCCAATTACTTCTTTTCACATTAAACGTATTTCAACGACAGCATGCCACTGTGCTATTGTCAGGGCAGAGGTCCATGATAGATCCTCTACGAGTACAAGAGACAGAGCATCGGCGTTTGTAAGATGTCCCCTGACAGGTGGTGGCAGCTGATCTAGCCGCCAAGAGTACCTGATCCAAGCGGGTGGTCCACGATCCAGCAAATGACCAGTTTCACAACATCGACCCGTAGGGCTGACGTCCCTGCAGATCGAGCGAACAGATGTCTTCCACCGGGAGAGCTTGATTCAAGGGACGAAACATCCTCCATTGCCGTGACGAAAGCCAGTCTAGGCTCTTCGACCTCGCCAAGGGGAGTCCTGGGTATGAAGGTGGGCGGAGCACTGGACCATCAAGGCACCCAACAAAAGCCAACCAACCACATGACGACTGGCGTCCATCCGGCCCCCTTTCGGAAAACCTTCTCAAATGCCCTCGCATTTCACGGCCACCGCACCAACACCCGCAAATGTACATAGATGGCTTTTGAGATTACCTCATGCTTCGCCTCAGAAGCTGACGATCCCACCAATGAATTCTCCGTTCTTCACCTCTCTAGACATAGCCGCATTGGGGGCCCTCTCACTCCATGCCTCCATGTAGGTACGGCAAGCCAAGCGGGGCCCTGGCCAGCAGCCGACAACCCGCTCATCAGGCATGGGGAAAGCATAAACACGAACAGGAGCCGTACTGACACCAGCCCCTGCTGGCAGCAGCACTCCTGAGGCCATAAGCGTGGTGCCCCAACGACGACACGCATCTTGTCTGAGCCGTCTTCTCTCCCAGTAGACGTAGATGCAAGACAGCGGCATCAAGAGCCCGAATAGCTCAATCGGCATTCCTTGAAACAGGGACGCCTTTGCTCTTCTCCCGACGAAGCTTCTCTCGACGAAGCACCTCCGTATCGGGCCCTGGCATCAGCTGTCTCTCCAACAGAGAACGTCGGATCACCAACATGGCACACGACCACACCCGCGACGCTGCTCCAGCAGCAACAGGCCATCACATGCCCGTCATCTTTCAAGTCTCGACCTCGACCCCTCTCTTCTCGACGGCGGAGCCCAGTCAGGCGATCTACGTCGGCAACTGCATCCTCCTCGCCTTTATCGCCCTGACGCTACGATCCCTCCTCGCCGTCAAGCCCTTTCTCGAGAACCGGCTGTGGGCGAAGCGCAAAGCGCAGGCGGCGAGGGCGCAGGTCGGGGAGGAATTGCAGCGGCTGAACAGCGAGGAGGACGGCGCCGGCGAGGCGCCGAAGCCGGAGCGCTCGCTGCGGTCCAGGGAGATGGGGCCGCTCAGGACAACGGCGCGCTCTCGGGCGATGGGCCTCCTGATCAGAGCGGGCAGGGCGTTTTTCGAAGTCGGCATTGCCATGTTGGGGTACCTGCTGTGAGTGCATGCGCTTTCCGAAACGAGGCAAGAGAGAGGGGGGACTGACGTGACGAAACAGGATGCTGGCGATCATGACGATGAACGCGGGCTATTGTGCATCAGTATTGGGAGGCATCTTCTTGGGGACGTTCCTGTTTGGCGGTGGCATCGGCGAAGAACAGTTTGACCATTGCTAGAGGACGAAGTCGAGAGCCCGAATGCAGAGGTTTGCCTTCGATTTCATGAAGAGGCGTCGTTGACATTTTCTTTGTTGAATCGTCTCGTTGTTGTTACCGAGTCGACGGTCCATCCCCAATTTGGCTCCTTTTGCAAATGGCCACCGCACCCACTATTGGAAGTTGTCAGTCGCATAAGCGCATAACCCATAAAGCGCGGAGACACGCGACGCGACAGCTTATACTTTATCCCTTTTTCAATTATGGTTCCGGTAGCTGCCAACGACCATAGGGATGTGACCCTGTTCAGCAAGACATTCCATCTTATCAGCAATAGTCCCACGGCCCGGATACGGACGATGACCCGCACATTATACCACGATGAAATACGACGTACATCCTAATACAGGGATAAGATTATGCGGTTTACCCACCGCAAGCCTATCAGTACATGTTCGTCATCTTGCAATACCACAGCGCCGACTTGGTCGAATCCGGGCAGCTGAGTGACGGCGGACAAGGCCGATTCGAGCACGTAAGAATCAATGGAAAACCCAAGACTCATAAATGAATGTACTACACCTGGAGCTCGCACTTGTGACTCTGATGAGGGTCTGGAAGTATGGGCAGTCAGACGCTTGCCTCACATCCCCTGCAGCCTGATGACCGGTGAAAGCATAGTTACCTAGTATCAACCCACAAATACAAATTTTCCCAGCCGAATAGTCTGTTGCCCGGGTGCATGTTCTCCAGTCAACATGATCATGCGGCTCCAGATCAAGCAGGCGGCATGCGTCTTCATATGTGCCATTTCTCGTTCAGGTAGTCACGGCATGATTTTCATATCTTGACAGTTCCAGCTCAGCCCACCCGGCACAAAGGCCTTACCTATCTCGAAAATGGAAAATGCCGTTCCAGGTGACACGGTCCGTATGACACGAAGGTTCAGTCGAGTAGGCAAGGGCTGTAAGGGATAGGTCAATCTCCATAGCTGCGTCACCTCACAAGCTCGGGCTGTGCATCTTCGTCCTGCCAGCAAAAAACCATGCCAACAGAGCCTCCCTTCCAGTCCGTCACAACCCGGGATAGGGCAGCCCAGTCGAGCGGTCCGTTCGTCCACCTCGCAAACGCCAGCAGACGGCTCCCTATCCTCCCACCCCCCGCATCGTCAGGCGTCAGACACCATCCAAGGCCAC